TTCCCTACAGCATGAGTGGCCTCTCAGGCAGAGGATCCCACCAGCACTTATGCTAATGTGGGCACATTATGGTAACAAGTACCTAATAATAGAGGGAAATTTAATTCCAGCAGCAGCGGCAGCCTGTCCTGGAGAGGAGCCATCCTCCTTCTGAGGAGGACCAAGCGGAGCCGTTCGCATGTGAGGGTGGCAGGGAGCCAATGCACTTGCCTCCCGAATTTGGTTTCCTTCCCTTTATTCACGTCTATAATTGAGCCTTTGTAAGTGAAGGGATGTGTGTAAAGGAGCTAAATTTGGAGCTGATTTCATGGGGGTGATGAGAGCTCTGGAGGCCAGCTTTACCTTATGTTCATCTTGCTGTCCAAGAAGGAATTCTTGGCCCTGCTCGAGGAAAAAAAGAAGCTAAGCTTGCCATTTCTCCATATCTCTCGTTACCAATAGCATGGTGTTCAGAAGCATTCAGAAAGGATGAGGCAGGTGGGGGGAGGTTGAGTCCCAGTGAGCAGAAGACACAGTGGGTTATTGAATTCACCAATTCCCTGAACTGGCCTGTGATTCAGGGAGGGAGGCTGGACAGAGGCGTGGTCCTAGAGTGGGACCCTTTAGGTGGAAACCTGCTGAGGCCTCACACGTGATCATGTGCTTGAGTGTCTACAAGCCAGCTCTGTTTTGAGCCGATCTCACGTTGTGGTGCCGCCTGGAAGTATCAGAACTGTGTAGGCCCGACAACCAAACGCACTGACAGACTGAGTGAAGAGCAGGACGTGGGATATGGTCCTCCATGACTCCACCAGCCTGGAATATGATCAGTGCCTTTATGGGCAACACTGCCACTTAATTACCTGTGTCTGCGGCTTCTCCATCAAAGACAGTGTTCATCTGGATTGTTTCCTAAGGAAAAGAAAGAGACGGCTTCAAGCACAGCCCTACACTCCTCCCCCCAGGAGAGGCTGTTCTTCCTTACAGCCCAGGTTCCTTACCCAGGGCCTTCCTGACATTTATTTATTCAATAGGCACTGTGCTCGATGCTCGGGACACATCGGTGAACAAGGCAGGGCTGGTTACCGCCCGCCCAAAGCTTGCAATCAAGCAGGAGCCATTGACAAAGAGGCACTGCAATTTACTGTGATAAAGCCTATGATGGGGGAATATAGGATGCTATGGGGGCGTGGGGGAACAGGGGTGGGAAAAGGACATTTAATCCAGACTTGGGGAGTAGGAAAGTATCCTGAGTAAACGCGATCTAAGCTGCACAGAAGGAAGCGCAGAAATGCCATGCAGCACCGGCCAAGATCGACATCACCTACGCGGGATCTGTCAGGCAGATGTTACGTGCAGGGCAGGCACAGATGAGTCAGCCTAGGCCGATGCAACGCTGCCTCTAAGCCTGGCCTGCCTCACCTAAGCCTGGTGTTCCACACCTTATTCTTTCCCCTGACCTGTACTCTGTGCCGCCCTCCAGGACCTGACCTCTGCCCCCGGAAACACCCCCTTCCCTCACACGGTGCCCTCCAACGATGCTGTTCTTCAGCACACTCACGAGGGTGGTGTTTGGAGTTTAAAGGGCCTTTGACCCCCGTTTTCATCACATAAGCCGTTACCTACTCACTTGCCCACAGCTCCCCTCTGTGAAAACAGAAGGAATTGAGATTGTACAGCTTTCCTCCATTTGATCAACTCAGAAGCTGCACTTTTTCGGCCAGGGGGATTGATTTACTTAATCGACGAATTTAACTCTACATATGTCTAACTCTCTGAGTGGCATCATCAAGGGTACTTGCCTTAGGCAATAATAAGACCCAGGAGACTGGAGATCACCCCTTCCTCCTGTTTGCAGACCAGTGCTTATAAGCACTTAGGAGACTGGCCTGAAGCCATACTTCCTCCGCGTCCTGCCTGTCATTTCCCAAATTCATGGATCTTAGATCATAACAAAGTCCTATTCCTAGGGGTTAGGGGAGACCTGGGAGGGGGTCACCTTCAAGTTCCATCACTTCCAGTGGGTGGATCAGGTTCAGTGAAAGAAAAATCAGGAGGTCATGTGAGGAGGTAACTCCCCAGCTGTCCTGTGACACTTTGCATTTACATGACTCTTCATAATTTTCCCAGTATCTCCCCACCTGTTATCTCAGGGCAGCTGTTCTCACTCCCATTCCACAGGTGAGGAATCTAATGCTTAAAGAGGCTGAGGGATTCCCTGAGGTCAAGGTCATATGGCCGAGAGGGCAGAGCCAGCCTCAGCCTCCCACCGTGCTCTTTTTCTATCACTTTTCCCTCAAGGTGTGGAAAAGCAAAGCAAAAGTAAATCCCATTGAAGGCTGAAGCACCAGTTCTGGTCTTTAAGCTCCTCTCCCCTAACTCACTCTCCTGGAGAACTAGTGTAGATAATAAACACCACTATTCAATATTTATGAAATCCAGTTCTTCTGCAAATATAGCAGCGGACAGGTTCAGTGGAGGGAACAAATTCTATCAGGAGCTCGTCACACAGCAGTCTGCTCCAGTGGCCAGATACAAGCATCTCCCTGAATGATAAACACCCCTGTGGGACTGTGGCGAGACGGCCGGGGGGAGACCAGAGCCCCTCCCCAACCCGGCGCCCTGGGGCCAGCCTCACCACTGCCGCCTCTCTCTTTGTGTTCTTCATTTCTGCAGGGAAGAGGACAGACAGAAGTTAAGCTTCTTGGACACTAAATTGACCTTAAAATTTTACCCCTACAAAGAGATATCTCTTAAGCAGGATTTGAGCTTAGTATTGCAGGCATAGCAAAGAATTTTCTGTCTCTAGACATGTTTGTTGACCTCCTTCCACCTTCTCAGAAACACACACACACTCTCATAATACACCATTAAAAATTTTTAATTCTTTTTCCAGCTTATTGTCATTACTGGAAACTAGGTTTTAAATGGCTTTATAGGTAACAAAGAAAGAGGGGGTTGCTACCTTTGTTTCTCATCTGAGGATTCTTTGCATCCATTCCTTATGCCCTTTTTACAAAGTAACTAGGATGGGAGATAGTTTGTGAAAAATCTCATTTATCAAAATTATCTCATTCGATATGATCAATAACCACTGTAGTTAAATTTCTAACCCTGCTGAGATATCCCTTGTACATGTCAGATGCACACACCTATGGCTGGAGTGATTAGAGCAATCATTTTTCAAAAAAACTCTTTCCAGTTCTTTGTCCTGTCTCTCCCCATAGCTTGGAGTCTCCCTGAGGCCACAGCTTTGGAGACAGTGGTGACATCTCCTCAGATGGGCCTTGCTCATTTCACCAACGCCCTGAAATCACTCAGCTCTCCCAGCCCATCTGACTGCACCCAGCCCCCATTTCTAACTACCCTAACCTAAGTAACATGTGAGAATGATCAAATCCATCACAATCTGAGAATAAAGTATCATTTGTTCTTTAAAAAGAGGCATCTGTCTAATACAGGGCACTAGCTGTCCTCAGGAGGGGTCACCCCCTCTGTGTGTAGCAGCAAGTAGATTCTGTGTTTAACTCACGGAGAATTCTCCATTCCTGACCCGCTTGGTGGGGAGCAGACCTTTAGGTGCTGATGTCGAGCTGATTGGAGGTGACTCAGTAAGGAGCAGGCAGGACCGAATTAGACCCAAGCGGGCCAACGGCCCCATGCACCCTGCCCCGCCCTCCCCTTCCTCCAGCTACGTCCGACCTCTGTTTCGTTCCATCCACAGATGATGTGGCGGAAAACCCACCAACACAGGACTGTGCCCTGATTCTCCACCGAGTTGGAACCCTTTTATGTAGTACAACAGAGCAAGCAAAAAACAATAATAGCAACAAACAAAGGTAATCGGCACCGTACATACCTACTTTCTTCACCCTGTATCGGGGGAGAAGGGATGGACAAGAATTAACCTGAGAGCACTCTGCACTGGTACACACGTGACAACATGAGGGCCTTTGGGCAACTGTGTTCCCCAGGATTCAGGGCTCGATTGAGAGGGACCAGGGCAGGGGTCTAAAATGCAGAATGGGCTCCCAGCCCTGCTCCATCACTGCTGGGTTGGGACTAAGGAGGCTTGGGAGTTTGATAAGTTTGAAAACTATTGCTTTAGAGAACTTCAGGGAACCTATTTTCTCTGACAACACTGAGTGAGGGCATGACGACCCCATCAGACCTCCCAGCGATTCTTCCTGCCTGGTTTTCCTCCCCAGTAGCCATCTGAACAGAAGATTTGGCCCACAGTGGGAAGGTTCAATGACTAGCAGTTAAACCCTGGCTTCCTGTAATGTGAAGAGCTGGACACCTGGACTCTTAAGACCCTTCCCACGATAACACTGGATTCTATTATTCTGTGACTCTAATTTTATTCTCTGCTATGGGACAAATATTGGTTGCCATATGGTACAACAAATTGCCAGAGAGGCCAGGTCTGAGTCTGAATTACTAGCTACTTTTTAAAAAGTCAACCATGTTGAAAACAATATTTAGAAGGTAACTGAAACCACCAGGTTCAAGGCTCACATTTGACTATAAACTGCATGTGAGTTGCAGTGTCCAGTATTGGATTACTTCCTTTAAGAACTTCTGCCCAAATCCCATTACAGAGCACTGCCATCCTTACAAGCTTAAGCATCACTCTTTTGGAGCTGTTTTTTTTTTCTCAAATCAATTTGTGAGTAGAGTCCAAATAAAAAGGCCTTTTTAAATTTCAGCAGATGCTCAAGGATTTCTTACCTTGAAGTCAAGGTTGCCAATAGCAACGAATGTCCCCAATAAATATGGCACAATGCAATGCACATCTTTATGCTAATACTTTTACTTTTATACTGCCTTTCATCCATAGATTTTAAATTATTTGACAGTAGTAGTTAATCTTCAAAATACCTTTAAAAGACACATAAATCTTATCACCCCTTCTTTTTGCCGGTGAGAAATTCCAAAATTCAAGTTCCAGTACCTCAAGATACTTGGGTGTACAGAGCTAAACTTAGAATCTAGAGTCCTAAGCTCACTGGGACTCAGCCGTGAAAAATCATGCAACAGGATTAAAAAAAAATAGTGTATTAAGCATTTACTCCACATCAGGAACAGTGCTAAGTGGTTCCTTTGCATTTGCTCATTTAATTGTTTGGTTTTCAGATAAAGAAATTGAGATTCACAGAGGTTGTCACTTGCCCAAAGCCATATACCCAGAAAGTGGCAGACCCAAGATTTGAACCTCAACCTTATCTGACTCCAAAGCCCAGGCTCAGAACCATCACGTTCTCACTGTAAGAGCTACTAAGACTCAAGAAACTGGCTCTGGGGAAGCTTGTAACAATTTAATGCTTTCTCCACTTTACTCTAGTACCTCCCTTTAGCCAGCAAAAGACACTCTGCAGAATGTCACCAAAAGAGGCATATAAGTGAGCAGGTGAGCATCCCAGGGAGAGGAAGCAGGCCTGCGTTTACAGCCCTTGAGAGGGCCACACGCAAATGAACAATGATTATTTAGTCAAACCAAAGCCCAGTTTGGTCACTGGAGCCAAAAGTTTAATTCCCTTATTACTTTTTTGTGCTTCCTCTAATTCCATCCCATCCTTTAAATATTCCACAAATAACAGCACGGCATATTCTACTGCTACTCACAACCGGCCTTGTTTCTGGAGCTTTTATCCAGGACAAGGTCACCAAGAGGCTGAAGCCCCGATTTCATTGAGAACTCATCAAGGACGGGGCACGTGCCAGGGAAAAGCAAAGGAACAGTTTCCTGGCCCGGCAGGTGATGAAGGGGGTCCACCAGGACAAGGGGAGCTGGGACATCTCCCCCGTAGCTCCGTTTCCTTTCTTCATTCCAGGCACCCTCTCTACCCTGTGGAGAAATCCCAACTGTCTCCCTTTCCTTCTCCTGACATCACCAGAGGCAGTATCCTCCGAAAGGAAATGGGGGAAGGGCCCAGCCCACTGGCAACTTACAGAGGTTTCTTGTGCTTCCCAGTCTTGCAGGGACAGTGTCTGTGGATGGCTTTGGCCAACAGGACGATCAGGGACACTAGGAGACCCAGAAGCAACATGGAGCCCAAAGTGATGACAAAAGGCACGTACCAGGCTGATGGAAAATACACGTTCTTCCTCAGGATCCGGTAGGTGATCCTGGGCTTGAATGACAGAAGGGGGAGGATGAGTGGAGGCTGGTAGTCTTTGACATCAGAACCCTCTCAACGTTGGGTGGTTGAATGTTCATTCTGCTTTTTGTTCTTGCTCTAAACGTCAGACATGTGCGTGCTCATCGTTCTCACTCTTCAACCCATCACCTTATTTATAGTCTTGCCAGACGTCCATTAGACCAAAACCCAGAAAATGTAGGGAACTGGAGAGCAACTCTAGGCCTAATTTCATTCTCTCTCTTCTCCTTCCCCAAAGCTAAAAATTCCATTGGCTTTTTTTTCCTGCCAAATCATGGCATAAGCTAGGGACTAATATAGCTATTGTCTCTCACTGGGAAGGCATGAGCCATGAAATTTGGGGTTTTTTGTTTCTTTTTTTTAAAACACTTTGTAAGCTTCTCAGTGTTCACTCACTACCAGCTGTGCTGCCAGCTGAGCAGGCTGTTATCACAGTGAGACCTCAAGTTCAGCATTTGCTTCCCAGAGAGGGAGACTGATAACAAACAAGTTATGGAGATTTCCAGGTTGGAGATGTCAGAGCTGGGTTGTGTTGTAAGTTGCAGAAAGGTGGCAGTTCCTTACTTGGGGCACCTACTGGCTCCTACCACAACCCTTCAAGTCACCTAATGCCTCCATTCATTGGGGGTAATATTGAGGGGTAATATCCAGCCCACAGGAAAGGAATATTAAGCAGCTCTTGGTAAGACTCTGAGAAGCAGAATTTGACGACCTGTCACAGGTGGCTTTCTGAGGTTCTGGTTCCTTTTCCTCTGGTGTACTCCAAGTATGGGGCTGCCGACCAAGGGCGCAACTTTTACAAGGATCAGGAGGAAAGGGGAAAAAAGGTTCTGCACAAATATAAGCCAGGTCATCCAAGAAGCCAGGGGCGATAATCCTCTTGTCAGATCCCAAGATGCTCCCTTCTTTCATCACACTGATTCCATTGTGGCACCTGCTTATTTTCTTCCTACTGTTTACGACAGTCTGTAGGTAGTTTATTAATTTGCACACCTGTTTGTAATCCATCTCCCCCTCTAGATCAGAGGCTCTAAAACTTTAGTGCAATCAGAATGGCCTGGAAGGCTTATTAAAAACACAGATGGTTGGGTCCCACCCCACAGTTTCTAATCCAGTAGGTCTGGGGATTTGGTGAGGACTCCAGGTTTCAACATCCTTCCCTGGAAGTCGTAGTGATGATCATGGTTGGATGAGGTATAACTTTAGTGTTCTGGGGTGGGCTCAAGAATTTGCTTTTCTAACAAGTTTCCAGGTGATGCTGCTGCTGCTGCTGGTCTGGGGACCACATTTGAGAACCACTAACCTATACTATAAGCTCCATGAGAGAGCAGAGATCATTTATGGCTTATTCACCAAAGTGCTTGGCATATTATAGGTATTAAATCAATACCTGCAGATTGAATAAGTGGATTTTTTTTTGGAGTGGCGGTGGGGAGTAGGGTACAGATTGACAAATGGTGACTCTTCAAAAGAAGGAGAGAAGAACATCTGGCAGCTAGCTGCTCTCATGGACATGGACTTGTATTGGCTCTTAAGGGCGAGCAGAGAAGGGCTTGTGAAGGCAGCAACATATCCATACCCTGGATGGGCAATGCCTGATCTATCACAAGTCTGTGCATATGTGTACCTCCTTCTTTACCAGACTAGGAAATGTCAGTGGTTCTATAAGCCCAAGGTCTCACCCAGATTTTTTCTACCACCCAGTGACTATTCCGATCCAGCCCACGGTTGGCGTTTTTAGCAACATCCTAACACCTCAACTCTTTTCAGTCCACCCCACATTTCTCCTAGCTCAAGGGGCTCCATCAACATCAATTACAAGGGACGTAACTGGGAAGTCCATCTCCCAAAACCCTTACCCTGGGGGTTGTGGTGACAGTCGTGGTTGGGTGAGGAATGACACTAATGCTCAGGGTCACTGTGCCTGTTTCAACAAGAGCTGCAGCTGTCTTCCTGTCGGACAGCAAGTTGTCATCAGTTATGTAGACAAGTAGTTTGTAGTTCCAGATCTTATCAAGCCCACTAGCATAGTCAAAGCGAGTCGCGAGGATCAGGCTTGTAACGTTGGACCCGGCGTTGGGAGAGAAGGTGAAATGACTGTTGATGTTCCCTAAATGAGATTTGATACAAGGATTTTGGGAAAAGGAGGAAAAGAGCGTGAGAAATAAGGGTTAGAAGAAAACTACATTCAGTCTTTTTCTTAAACATCCCACCTCAGGTGTAGACTACTTCTGAGGTACCAGGGCGGGGGCAGTGAAAGGATATGGGCCTTAACAGCACCAGAGATTTCATGAGTACAGAGAGACTCCGGCTCACAACCAGTGTGGCTGCAATGAAAATGAGAGTAGAAAAGGGCACCAGTACAGGTGTACAGGGAGAATGGCCGCCACGGCGTTGAGCATCAGGCAGAGAGCTAGCAGTCCTGGTGCGGCCAATGCTCATCGTCAGCATTAACTTGGTAACAATGTGTAACTCACGCTCAGACCAATCAGTGGGCGGCAAGAGGGAAGAGGGGGCCACGTCCCTAGCCATGGGCCAAGTTCATTGCACGCCTTTCATGAAACCAGGCTGGTCACACCCGTGACAGATGTCCCTGGAGTCCCCCAAAGGAAGGTGCGTCCCGGGCTGACAGGGACAGTAGTCCCCACCCCCACCTCCCCAGCGGCTCCTCTGGGGCTGCAGGCTCACAGCTTAGGGAGCCCAGAGCAGAGAGGCTGCCCGCCCAAGCAGCTCTTGTTCATTCCTCTGGTGGCTGCAGACCCACTACCAACTAAAAACCAGTAAATGGACCAGGGGATGAGGCAATTTTACTCCCGAGCAACGAAGTGCCCCATAATAAAGGCCTGAGGGTTCTCAGTATGGATTATTTCCATCTTCGGCCACTGCAGTCTCGAGGTGGGCTCTGCCCCTAGGTTTTGTGACACAGCCTGCTGGAGAGGCTTCCTGCTGCTCCAGTTCCGGCTCTGCCAGGGCTCAGCAGGTGGTGGAGCTGGATTTTCACTCTTTCACGTGAAACTGCTCTGCTTGTTTGGGTTTAAATCTCTGGCCCCGGCACTTCATTAGATTAACTATTTTGGTCTCATTTCCATTGAGGGGTGCTCTTTTCTTTCTCTCCCACAATGGTATATTTTTAAAGAGAGAAAATGAATGGAGCAGAAGAGAATTCCTGAGGACGCGTTTCAAAATGCATTTAATCTATTTCATCTATTATTATCCAGAGAGAGGACTGGGATTCCCCTGCCCCCCCCCCACACACACACACCCTGACCCTGCCACAAGCTTGCAGGAAAAGAGGTGGGGGAGGAGTTGGACTAAAAAAATGTTTTTAAGCTACACTAATCTGATTCATGAATCCTACGACAGGCTGGGAATTGGGGGTGGGGGGGGCGGGTCACCATCAATGGGATTCACTGTTCCTTGGGCCTTTGGACAGCCAGGTATGGGAGTCTGGGAAGAGTTAGGTGAGAAGGGGAAGCAAGGTGTGTGTGGGGGAGGGGGGACTGGGAATTCCAGAACCATTTGACTCCTCACCCCTGGTTTCCTCATTCAAAACATCCCACCCCCTACACGCTGTGCCAGATCAGTGTGTGGGCTCAGACCCCCACCCCTTCTCCCTAAACAGCTGCTACAGCCCCCAACACCAAGAGCCCTCAGCAAGGGTCCAGGACCACTGACATCAATACCATACCTGAGCCAATGGAGTAACGAAAAGACCTGGGGCTGGAATCAAGGTCAGTACATGTGAGCTTGAAATTGTAAATATTTGTGCCAACTTTCAGATCCACTGGGATGGCCAGGAAGTACGAGTTTGGGGTACAGATTGGTTTTTCATCATTTTCTTCAATGATGTTCACAGTCACCTAGAGCGGCAAGAAAGTGGCCTCACTGAGTAGTTATCATTGAGCGCTTACTGTGTTTCACGCACTGCGCTGTGTGCTTTTTGTGAATTAGTGAGGTTTAACCTCATCTGAGATCGATAATATGTTTATTCCCATTTTACAGATGGGGAAGCTGAGGCTGAGGGAGATTAGGTAATTGACCTAAGGCCATTCAGTTGGTGAGTGGCAGAGCTGGGATTTGAACTTAGGTCTGTCTTACTCCAAGTCCTATGCTATTAACTTCTCTACTGTGTGTTGTGTGTGTATATGCACATGTGCATAATATACGTAATAATACATTTCCACACACCCCCACACACATGCAGCTAGACACATGTGCTCATCCCCAGATGATGCTGAGTTGTTTTTCCAGTAACGATGATGGATTTATGGTGACCCTCCTGTGCTTCCTTGCTTGCTGCCCCTGTGAGTTGGAAGTTCTGTCTTTAACTTTGGAAGATCGAACAATGGCTCTCAACCATGGCTCCACTTTGTCTGGCCCTCTCCAGACCAAATGAATTGGACTCCCTGGAGGGTGGGGCCCAGGCCTGAATTTTTTTTCTTTTTTCTTCCTTGATTGATTGATTGGCTGACTCAGGTCTTCGTTGCTGTGCACTGGCTTCCTGTAGTTGCGGTGAGCGGGGTTTACTCTTTGTTGCGGTGCACGGGCTTCTCATTGCGGTGGCTTCTCTTGTTGCGGAGCACAGGCACTAGGCTCGTGGGCTTCAGTAGCTGTAGCTTGCGGGCTCTAAGCTCAGGCTCAGTGGCTGTGGCGCACGGGCTTAGTTGCTCCGCGGCATGTGGGATCTTCCCGGACCAGGGCTCGAACCCACGTCCTCTGCGTTGTCAGGCGGATTTTAACCACTGCGCCACCAGGGGAGTCCCCAGGCACGATTTTTATGTTCCCCAGCCGATTCTAATACTCAGCCAGGGTTGAGAACCACTGGGATAGAAGGAGGCGACCTGGCTTAGCTGGGGTCTTGTGTGTAACCCAGGATCTCAGCACTGCACTGAGCCGGTGGCGCTGGCCTGCCACAAGCAGGGGCCAGCCCGTTCTCTTTCATCACCGTCTTTTATGCCTGGTGAATTGGAATATGGACTGGGATGCCTGCCAGCACCGAATCACAGAATGTCAGCCCTGAAAGGGACTTATGTGATCATCACCCGTTTTAAAAGCTTATGAATTTTTGAGTCGTATTCATTCTACCTCTGAAATTTGGGGATTTCAGCTATTTCTGAGCCCAGGAATAAATTGAAATGTTCTCTCTAGTTAGCTCCCAAAGTGGACTCCATTCATTCCTCTCAAAAACCCAGGCTAACAAACACGACAATTACCTTCAACTTAGCACATCTTTTTCTCAGCTAGCAATGCCAAGCCTTACACATCATTGAAAACATCGTCCCACTAATTCAAAGCAAGTCATCAGAGGAACTGGACTATTCAGGCATTGGGTTATGAGGTGACTCTCCATGTGTGAGAGAGAAATCAGGGTACAAAGATAAGCATTGCTCGGACCCCCTTGGCAAATTGGGATCAAAGTTGAGAAATGAACTCTGCCTCCTGACCCTGGACCAGTCATTCACTCACACAGGGCTGCCTGCCGCTAGCTGAGTTCATTTTGCCTTAGGCTTTTTCACTTTACTAACGGGAAAGACCAAGAAATAGTTTCCTCTTTGTGACCATCATATTACCCTCAAATATTCCTAACCACTGGCAGCACAGACCTGTCAAAGCCTGGCTCCTCAAAGCGTGGCCATGGACCAGCTGCCTCGGCACCACATGGAAGCATGTTAGAAATGCAGGTTCTCAGGCCCTACTCAGACCTACTGACTCAGAAATGCATTTAACCAGATTCTCAACATCAGAGGTTACAAAGCAGCATAGCGCTGTGTCAAGCCAGATCATTTTAAGACCTATGCCATCTGGTATGATGGGGCTCAGGGTAGGAACAGGGTAAAACTACTTGGGGGCGATGCACAGCTCCAGCCCACCTCAACAGCAAGGGGGGATTTAAGGGCAACAGGAGGAAGCTTGTCCCCCAGGGTGGCCATCCATCTCAGTGCTTCTCCCAGTCACCCATAAACGTGGGCTTACAGATGTCAATCTTTATTTCCTGGCACTGCTATGTGTGTCTGATTGTGCTGTCTGCGACACCCCTAGCCATTTCTTGTCATGTCTGCAGGAGGTGCCCTATTAAGATTCCTTATTGCTACGGCCACATCTGGAGGGTGCCAGGGAGACCCAAAGTCAACCACTTGGGCTGGTGTGAATACACCAAATAGCCCCACTCACAGTGACTGAGCTGCTGTCCTCGCCGTTGGTGGCCTGGATTCTGAGAATATAGATGGGGGTTGTCTCGTAGTCCGCTTTAGTCACCAGCTGGAGTTCTCCCGTTTGGGGATTAATCCAAAATATGTTTGGGTAGTGCTGGCTGGCCCCTCCGGTGGAGATGGAGTACACGATGCCTCTCTGGGGGAAGTCTTTATCTGTCGCTTGCATCCGTCCAACCCGGGTTCTAGCTGGAAGAATAAAGTACCTGCGATTACTGCTGAGAATAATATCTGAGATTAGTCCTGCTTTGGGGATGAGAGGAGGAATTAGGAGCAGACACTCTCAGTGCCATGGGCAGAAAGACTTTTGGGGGCCTCTTTGCTGTTCAAACTCTGTATGTTTTACATCTTTTAAATTCAAATTACACTAATGACACCCACTAGGAAACTGGCCATATGATTTAAGCACTACTGTGAAGTCTAAAAGACAATTCATACCCTCATATAGACTCCAAGCACACCAATTATTATATGATCCTAAGGCTGCAAATAACCCTCACATATACATCTTTTTGCAGCAGTGTTGTCTTTTTTATTTTTCAAATTTTCTATAATGAGCATGGGTTGCTCTTATAAAACCAGATGAAAAACATGATTTTTAAGGGTTTAGCAACAGGATGATTGGAATATTTTTGATTTTTAAATCCTGTTCCATTTTGCTTATTTTGCAAGTCTTGTTGGTGGGCTGCTGGACTTCGGGCTTGCTTGTTTTATAGAAGTTCTTCCTCATAAATTATACTCCTCAAGGGCAGCATCTTCTCTTATTCAACTATATAGAACAGCACTATGTGCTTGACCCAGAGTAGGTGATTAATAATTGTAGCAAGATCTGTGAATTCATAAAAAGCCTATTCCTGTTGCACTTATTATTCACTGGATAAGGCATAAGGAATCGACAGCGTTTTCTTCAGACCCTCTTTTTGTATTTTGTTTAAAATGTAATGTCAGGAAATGGAGCTCATCATAAAGAGAGAGAAGGAAATGGAGAGGAGATCATTTTAGAGGGAGATTTTGGGGTTTGTTTGGTTTGGTTTTTAGTGCAGAAGTATCCACAATCCAAGTCTCAAAGACTGTGGTGAGGTCTGATTATTCTAGAGTTAACAGTCTCCCCTTCACTGCGAGAGACGGGGAGAAACCCAGCTGGAGTGGGGAGGAGCCTGCAGAAATCGAGGCATCCTAAAGGGCAGAAAAAGAGGCCTCCAGGGAATCCTTCAAAGGGAAGAGAGAAAACATCTTTATTTTGTCTTTAAATGAAAGAAATCTAGAAATGGGAAGCCTTCTCTCTATTTTTAAATTTCAATTCTCTGAGTGAGCTGGATAAAAATCACAGTGGAGACCAAGGGAAAACTTAGGCTGCAAAAAGAGAGGATTAGTTGGAATCAGGCACCCAGACAAAGAGGCAATCAGGGGGTTCAGAGAAATGCAGTTTAATCAACAGTTTTCAAAATCTGGATTTCACCTGAAGGGCTCCTCTACAGTGAGGAGAATTTAAAAAGAAGTAAGACATGCAATAACCAGGAATCAGCTGTGAGTCGCTGTGCACAACACCACCAGGGCCTCTGACAGGGAGCCTCCTCCACCCAAGTGCCTCCGGATGAAGGGGTCTATCAAGAGCACTGGAGTCTGTGTCTCGTTGGTCACTTACATGGGCTTAATTCCGACATGGCAAATATGTAGGATGGGCTATCAAAGACAAGAGGAAACTCATTTTCTGGGCTTGTTAGGATATAAATGTAGATATTATCTATAAACAGAAATAGGAAAAAATAATTAAATCACAATACAGGCATCCCTCATTCTGTTGCGTTTTACGTATTGCAGTTTGCAGATATTGTGTTTTTTACAGATTGAACATTGTGGCAACCCTGTGTCGAGCAAATCTATCGGCACCATGTTTCCAACAGCGTTTGCTCACTTTGTGTCTCAGTGTCATGTTTTGGTAATTCTCGCAATATTTCAAACGTTTTCCTCATTATTATATTGTTATGGTGATCTGTGATCAGTGATCTTTGATGTTACCATTGCAAAAAGATTATGACTCGCTGAAGGTTCAGATGATGGTTGGCATTTTTTAGCAATAAAGTTTGTTTGTTTTTTTTTCCCGTACGCGGCCCTCTCACTGTTGTGGCCTCTCCCGTTGCGGAGCACAGGCTCTGGACGCGCAGGCTCAGCGGCTATGGCTCACGGGCCCAGCCGCTCCGCGGCATGTGGGATCCCCCCGGACCGGGGCACGAACCCGTGTCCCCTGCATCGGCAGGTGGACTCCCAACCACTGTGCCATCAGGGAAGCCCAGCAATAAAGTATTTTTAATTAAAGTATGTACATTATTTTTTTAAGACAATGCTATTGCACACTTAACAGATTACAGTATATAGTGTAAATATAACTTTTATATGCATTCGGAAACCAAAAAAATTCACGTGACTCTCTTTATTGCTTTGTGCCAAGCCAAAGAGTTTGAATGTGAACTTGACAGCTATGGGGAGACACTCAAGGGCTTTCAGCAAGAAGTAATACGGTGGCATTTGCGTTTCCTGAAAATCACTGTCAGAAATGTGGTGGATGCGTTGGAAAGGGACAAGACTAAAGGTGGGCAGAAAGACTCTTGAAACTGTTCTTGGTGAAGGACAGGAGGAGAGGCTGGGCTGATTCCCAAGTGTTGGGGCTTTTGGAATTCTCCTTTTGAACATAAATACATCCCCAGCCCAAGCCCAAGCATTGCCCAGCACAGTTTAGTCATTGCTACTCAAGGAAGATGCTTCATGAAATAAACCAAAATGATACTTGCTTTTATAGTAAGGAGGGGCAACATCCTGCACCTGGATTATCACAGTGTATTTATTGCCGGCTGCTAGATTACTTGAATTTTCATAATCCAGATCACCAATCAACTAGATTAAAACAGAGAGATCAGATTACACAGAATAAACAATCCTTTTAATTAAACTGACACTTTCATGTACTGTTAGTAGACATGTAAATTGCAAAACCTTTCTGGAAAGCACTTTTTCCCATAGGAGGAGCTTTAAAAAGTTATGTCCATACCTTTGCTCACTGCTAGAGAACTTACTTGAAAGAATTTATCAGGAGAGAGAATCTGTTTAAAGATGTTCATCAAGCACTATTGCCCAGCATAGGCTCAAGATTTCAGGTTAAGTCAAAGAGAAGCATGATACAGAATCCTACATGCAAGGTTATTTCCATCATTTAGAATACTTATGCGTATATGTATAGACTATACATAAAATCTATGCATAGGGACGAAGACAAGAAAGAAATATATCAACATGTTAATAGTGGTTATTACTGAATAGTAATGCCTTTCTGTGTTTCCTACATTTTCTACAGTGAACCTGTATTAATTTCTCAAACAGAAAAAAAAAAAGAAGTTATTTTTAGTTGACACAGTGCATAAAATTGGTACGACTTTTTGGGGGATGGGAGGTGGAGAAGGGGGTGTTTGAGAGGATGGCTAGTGGGCTGCTTGCTCTTCTTCCTGAGGCTTTATCTCTGATGCAGAGATCTCCCCCATCAAGACCACCCCCCTGTAAGACCTCCACCTTACCCTGCCCTTCTATCTCTCTCCTCCTTTCCCCCCAGCCCTCCAGTGGGAACCTTGTTGTTAAATGTCTCACACAGCTCATTGAGACCTGCCTTTTGCTCCCGTTCTTTTTCCAATTACGTGTTTGCCCCAGTGGAGATGCCCCTCTTTTTTGGGTCTCCAGTGGTTCTACATTGCGGAATTCAGCAGG